TACGGAGCTAAGAAAAAGTGTTGTTTACTGTTTGACAGATGACAGTTGATTATGATTGAAATGTCCAAAAAAAAACTTTTTCTCAAACTGTCCCCCGAAAAAAATTCTATGAATAGGACTCAAAAAAAAGTTTACAATCGAAGTGTCCCTCAAATTTATTGCAAATGAAAATGGCACTTACGAAAATTTACATGAATCTTTTTTGTAGGGACATTTTAGTTTGAAACAAATATTCGGGACACTTTAATTTGAAATAATTCTGCGGGACACTCCAGTTTGAACCAAAATTAAGTTTCATTATTATTCTTAGCCATTCATATATCGTCACTGTGATGATATCGTACCATGTGTCCTGTCAAGTTAGACAGAATCCAGCTTCCGACGCCAGTAGATTTGTAAAACACCTTAACCTCTCTAACAGACTCTTCTTGGTTACAAAAAACACAAAATACTTTTCCTTGAAATTGTCCGACATTGGATGTTGTTACTTCTACCGAATCAATCGTAAATGTTTCAATTGGCAATATCTCGTCTGTTTCATATTTAATCATCACTGATGATGCACGCTGAAATAACTGAAGTCGAAGTTCAGCTGTCTTTCTTTCTGATTCTTCTTTTTTTTGCTGCCTCATGTCCCCAAACACTAAACCAAAAACACTTTCACACATATTGTGTTCATACAAAATACGATTGTTCAATTTCAAGAATTCCTCTTTTTCGAAATGCTGCAGTTCATCGTGCTTAACAAATTCGCTGACTTTTGTAATTGCTTTTTGAAGAAGTTTTTTTTCACCGCCTGTGATGTAAAATGTTTCTGGTTTTACTGCAAACATGCCAAAAAACCACGATTTTTGTTTGATAGTGTAGTTTGTAAGTTTTTCTTTGAGAGCTTCTTCTAAAAGTGGCGGCAAAATATTCCGGACGTATTCCTCGATTTCCTTAATGTCTTCACTGTTGATTTCACTAAAGCTAATAGCGTTACCGTAACCATTGAAACTATTTGAAAATCATATCATAAATAAAATGTAATCGAAATTGTATTGCATAAAAATTACCTCCAGATGTTTTTAATGTGACTCGGAAGTTTGGTTTTTATGTCTTCTTCGAGTATCGTCCAAAAAATGTAATCATTTTCCGTGACTTCCATTGTTAGTTGTTGTTTTATCAAATATAATTTTGAAAAGAGTGGATATTTGATGTTCACTAAAGTAGGCCTTGCTACACGCGCCGGGTCAACGTCAATGAGTTTGTGATGTGTGCAACACACCTATTTCGAAATGTCAATTCTGTAAACTGTCCGTAGATGTGATGTATAAGCATTTGTTTAACGAAAAATATAACGAGTCACCAACACAGACCACCCAAGTAGAGATTTGCTTAATCAGCAAAAAAAATGCAAACGATTGAAGACAGTATATATATATATATATATTTCAAACTAATTTTGGAAAGATTTTTACAGAAACATGACACCAGCAACACAAATGTACACAACATTTATAAAAAAATATGCACAGACTTCAACACTAGCTAGCTTCAACTGCACTACATTAACTTATTTGTTTTCATATAATTCTTTAAAATCGTTGGGCAATTCAAATCTTCTTTACGCACCCAAGAATCATGAGTGCAATCAAAATTTTTCCATCGAACAAGAAACATTTGTTTTCCTCGCGATGTTTTATGTGCATGTAAACTTTCGACTTCAAACACATTTTTATCGTCATCGCCATAACTTTCCAATTTAGACACCAATTTATCACGTTCCGCTTTCAGGCAGTCGATTTCATTTTGAAGTATCTGTTTGTCTTTTTGGTATTGCGTTTCCATCTGTTTTCTCTCTTTTTCAGCATCTTTCAGGAGTTGATTTTTTGCCTCGCATTCAGTGCAACTTTTGATTATTTGATTTGAATACCAAACTTCATCAGCAGCTGGCTCTTTCTTAATGTTAAATTCAAATTCTTGTGCCACTTTGATTTCGTCATTTGGTAGATTTAAAGTCTGTAAATAAATATCTAGTTAATAACTGTTATAAACTGCAATTATATATAGAACAAACCGAAGGATCTTTTATAAATTCTTCGCATTGACGCACTGCTTCTTTGAACATATGACCGCGTCCCCTTTTTACATATTTCTCTTTGTATTCCCAGTAGCTGTGAGTGTTTTCTAACTCAACAAACCCACTAAACACAAAAAAAAAAATTAAAGATAATTGATCATATATTTTGCTTTTATATTTAAGTAGAACATGAACACTTACAAGTTGTTTGTGCCAAAGAAATAAACACAAAATTTTCGTGGTGGTTTCTTGATGTGGGTCGGAGGATCCACAATACGGCCTGGCCAATAAGGGTTGTATTTTATCTTCGCCCTAAAAAAATATATATTAAAATTCCGAAATTTTATTATTTAGTTTTGAAATTTATATTTACCATACAGCTTCACCCATTTTATTTAAATCAATGCGCACAGATGTTGTATTTATTGTGAAATTCAAAGCAATCGTTTGACAGCTTACGCTGACATTCACCACTACCAACCTAAGCAGAATAAATTTCGCTCAAGCGAAATCATATACTGATCGAATGTTTTGAAACTGATTTGAAAATATCGTTACGAAAATGACCAAATGAATATTATTTATGAAAATATAAATTGTATTTGAATTTAAACATCTAATTAATATTATTTAGTGTCTATTATATTCTTAACATTAATTTTTGTATTCAGAGTTATCGTGTCATACACAGAATTATGTAGAATTATCTGGAATTATCGTAGTAGTAGATTGAATTACGAGAATTGCCACGGCGAAGTAGTTCGCCCCTTGCTTGAACAGTTGTGAAACTCGATTTGATAAATGTATCGGTGTAATTAATTTAAATGAAACAGAAGAATTGGTTGATTATGATGAAGTAATTTTATTGGTAAGTGCGACTGAGACAGATGAGTTTGATAAATTAATTGATATTAACAAGAAATTGGATAAGAAACATGCAGATGCTCTGAAATCAACCATTTCTCGAAACCACGTGAAAACAAAAGATGTGAACCATAAGTTCAGTAGTT